TTTGGAGGCGCAGTCTAAACAGTAACGTGAGTTGTTATCATATGTAAGTATCTGAGCAACCGCAGTGCCCTTTTTCAGTGCTCTCTGGAAGCATTTCCTAACGGCTTACCAAATCCCAAAGAGCCAAAACCACGATTAAACCTTTACCCCTCCTGAAACTCAGCATAATACTAGCCTAAGAGAGCATTGTCTAGACTTACGCATGACGTATTGTTAGATGTATTATAAACAATATTTTATCCTTCTTGTATATGCCTATCATGTAACACGATCCCAGCTTATACCGCGTATGTACCGTTACGTTACTGATATTTTTTAAAAGAACGGCTTGAGGTCACATAATGATATTTACATTTCTCGGTACAAATTAGGTTCATCAGAAGTAATATAATTCAGCCAGTATTTTCGTAGATTCCGGCCATATGTTATATTTGCTATCGTGCAAATATGCCCGTGAGTCGTGCTACACACACTCAATTACATTGAGGCTCTTTTCTTTAATTTGACCACTTTCACTCTATCCATCCTACAAACCTCATTTTATACTCAATCCGCTTAGTGTTCTATAGCTTCAGTCTTTTTACAAGGAGAACGCCGTGTCTCCAAACATTAGGGCATTATGTAATTGTTTGATGGACAAAATGCTTTTACGTGCTAGTAACATGTATGCCACATCAATGGTGGTCTATTTTGAATGAGTTGTTTATCATGAGACCAAACGTCCCCACAAATCTGATGGCAACAGATAAATCGTGATTACCTATTGAGTTGTTCAAGGCTGTTGAACTGTTAGATGTTGACCATACCTTTGAGCAGGCGGGCGCATCGCACTTTATAAGACGCTGTTGTAGTGGAAATACGGCCGAAGGATACGGATTTGAGACCGCATTACTGAACGTCATTAAACATTTCTTGAGGTGGTTATGGATTTCACTGTTGATGAACTCGTGGAAACAGCGTTCGCTGGACACGACCTAGAAGGTGTGGAGCTACTTCCTGGTGAGCGACTTCTTAATTTGTAGTACGCGGGCGATATTGTTCTAGTCTATGACAGCTCCTAAACATGTCAAGCAGCACTGGACCGATTACCACTGGCTGTCAATCGTTTTGAGCTACGCCTTGCTCCATAGAAATGCAAAGTACTTCTCCAAGATTGGCAGGGATCCAACCCTACACTAACGCTTTCTGGTGATCTGCTAGAAGTCGTTCAGGAATTCAAGTACCTGGGCAGCTATATTAGCGCCCGCGGGATTAAAGACGAGGTTACGAACCGTACAGCAAAGCTCGAGGTGCTTTTGTCAATCTCCGCCACCCGTGGTGCAGACGCGACATTAATCTTTCCTTGAAGGGCAGAGTTTATAACGCAGCCGTCCGTTCAACCCTCCTGTACAGTTGTGAACGCTGGCCCATCAGGTCAACGGACATAAAGAGGCTCGTCACATTCGATCATCGCTGCCTTCGCAGCATAGTTCAGGTCTGATGGGAGCACTGCGTGAGCAATGAGCGTGTTCAGTATCGCGTATTTGGTGCAGGAAAAGCGAGTGAACCGCTCAGCACCATTATATCACGCACTAGGCTCCGATGGCTGGGCCATGTGTTACGCATGCAAACACATCGACTTCCGCGACGGGCATTGTTTGCGCGCCCGGGGTACGGTTGGAAGAGGAGAAGAGGAGGCCAAGCGATGACTTAGACGAGAGAAATGAAAATCCTTACTTCGAAGTTGCGTCGGCTGGTGCATCCCGACAGCCTGACTAGGGTTCTAAGGACGTTGACCACGATTGGTTGGACCCACTTGCTGATAAGGCTAGAACCCGGCGTTTGTATTGTGAGATCTTTTGTCCATCCCATCCTGCTTAGCTTCCCACTTCAATCACGATCTCATTCGCTATGCATAATATAAGCCTCGTATTACGTCAAGACAGCCGGCTGTTAGCTCTCCTGAACGATGCCGATCCGTTACAGTGGACTCAGCCGGTGTGCCGTCGTTTTTCTCTTCATAATGCCTTTAGTACTGCAACATAATAGCTGAGGTGTTTCCCACTTGCAAGAAACGTGTATAATGATGAAGATCATGCTGCTGCTGCTGCTGCTGCTTATGATGATAATCATGGTCACAAGAAGGAGGAAGAGGAGAAGGAGAAGGATGATGACGATGATGATGATGATGATGATGATGACGACGACGACGATGATGATGATGATGACGATGATGATGATGATGATGATGGTGGTGGTGTTGATGATGATGATGAGGAGGAGGAGGATGAGGATGATGATGACGACGACGACGATGATGATGGTGCTGAGGAAGACGATTATGTTTATCGAATTTAACGTGTGGTATTGCTTTACTGCTTCCCAATTTCCATTAGTGTGCTGTTAAGGTTGATGCAGAGGTTGAGCGCGTCAAGGTCATGTTACACTACCTAGCCTGTGGAGCCGCATTGTGCGCGCTAGTGCGTGAGTGTACATCTCCCGACAAACCAGTGACGCTTATTGATTGGTTCAAAAAGAGTGTGTTTAGCTAAAACGTGTGGACTGCAAAACTAAACAGTTGATGTCTACCCAGTGTGGACTGCCGATGTACCATTGCCCTTACTTCTACTAAACTTCCATTTACAATTCTGTTGTTCTGATTTCGGTTGAGTGTAACAAGTTATTAAAACAAAAATGTTTTGTATTCATTTTTCCGATTATCTATAGGTTTATGCAAGGAGTGTGCTGCATGCGTAGGGCATGCTGGTGCTAATTTGATCAGGTGTTTAGTTGAATGTTAGTAAGAAGCAAATTACGCCGTTTATATTTTGGTGATCATACGAGCATTCACCACCTAAACGTTGATATGCTGGAATTGACAGGGGCATCACAAAACCGCAATTACGAACAATTTACCGTGTTTCATCTTCCACCTATCTGCAAGTAGTGTCCTAATTGTTACGTTGCTTGCAGCATTCTTGTACACATGGGTAAGTATACACTTGGAAACCAGGATGCAACTGAAGTAGACGCCATTTGTTTACGGTGGCATTCAACATTCGGGAAAGTCGTCCCTCATTCGTTGGGTTGCACCACCACCAAATAGTGATCCCGGTTACAGCGTCTACTCTTGTCTCTATGTCATGGCCATTTGGTCCTGTGTTACCTCTTGAAACGTTTCGAGTGAAACACAAACAGTCCACCTAATTCCTTTCCTCTTCGGCTTATTCACATTCAGTGCTTTTTACATAAACCAGACAAATTCTACGCGTACAGCTTAGGGGTGGCTTCTCACGTTTCCGTGTCGTTGCGCTGAAACAAGAAACGATTGTTTATGTAGACGATTCCTATTTAAATTGCACAAACATTCGGTCCATATGTATGTCTTCTACGAACAGCGTTGAAATGTGCTGACGGTTCATTTCTTCTCCCTGCTCATCACTACAAACAGTTGTATCAATCAGGTGTGACGTTATTTGTCGAGGGATTCCTGATTAGCGTGTGCTAATATAGGAACATTCAGACAAGAGTAGCTTTAAGGCACAACAGTGTAGCAGTGAACGTAGGCGTCTGATGACATAACTGCAGCAAACGGCTAACCAAAATGTTTCTCTCAATCGCTAAGTAAAATCGAACCACTAAGCCCTAGCATCCAAACGAACCATAATCCGGTAATTGAACCTAAAATTGTGCAGTCAGGTGTTACTACACCAACAGCTCCGTATGTTTCTTCGTCCATTTTGATCCCGTCTCTATGGGCAAACCGAATTTCACAAGATTGTGTCCATCATCGCCGTTATGATAGTCTGTAGGCTTGTCTGCCCGCAACCGCTCCAGCGTGTGATAAACTGTCGCAGCAGGTTCGATTGGCTATTTCACTGTTACGCGAAAAAATGTTCAATGGCATTTAAAAATTTGAGCCGGTATTCCCTGGTAACATTTGGGAAACATCGTATTACTGCACATTTGTGTAACATAGACGAGAAATCAGATATTGACTTATGGGTACCACAGATATTGACCAACAGCTGTTAGATTGCACAGTGCTTTATCTCGCAAACCAATGGAAATAACCTTTTAACCCATGGTCACCTCGTGTTAGAGAGACACGGGTAACAGTAAAATGCTCTGATACTTCGGCAACCTATCAGTCTTTATTTAGTTAAACGTAACTGTTTGTTTTTGCATCCAATTGACTAATAACTTTGCGTGCACCGTCAGTAGTGTGCATGATCACGGGTGAACTTTGCCAGGATATTTTATTACATCAATTCCAACTTAACAGACGCGACAAGTGTGCTTTTACATCTCTAGCAGAGGAGAACTGTTTCCCACATCAGTAGTAAAATGTAAATTCTTTCCCTATACCGTGTCTGCAAAAGGCATAGAGTTAGTCATTAAATTTACATTAAATCGAGGCACACGGTTGGTGTCTAGCGCTTTGCTCCTGTGACAGGCCTATCTGTCACCGAGCGTGAGGCAATCCCTCCATAGCGTTTGTTTTAGTATGAAAAAATTGGTAACTCCCTTCAATGATATCTGAGCTGTTAATGGTGGCAGGTTTGATTAAACTACCCCGCAGAATTGGTTCGGTAGAAAATTGCTGGCATTTGATCACCAAATGAAAGTTTTGTTATCATGATGGTGGAGATCTGATTCAATGGAAAGTCTATATCTCACCGGGACTAATCAGTCATCGGTCAAACAGACACCGTTTGTGGCTGACGTGCGTAAACAGAATACCTATTTAGTGGTATTGGTACGCCTAGAATTGGACAAAATAATATTTGTCAACCAGAAGAATGTCTTGTATGGTGTGGCCAATTATTGAGTCCATTTAAGTAAAACATGACGAGCACACTCAAGTGCACCATTGTGTGCTTGAGCTTAGGGTGGTGAAAAACCTGCAACCTCATGATTTTGAGAGAAGACTCTGGACTACTTTACGCGGTTAACATCGTCGGTATCCTCAAGTTGCAATTTCGCGTTTGGAAGCATATCCGACAGCAGTTCGTACTCACCGTGAACACTCGCTGGTACACATCACCGTTCGGAGATTTGGACAGTTTTTCGAAATAATCACACATCATTCCAATGAACTCCTTAAAGTCAATGCAACCGTTACCTAAAATGTGAAAATAAAACACCAGGTTGATGTAACAATTGTTTGTTACAGAAAGAATCAAACGTATTACTTGTTCCTTTGTCAGTCAGAAATAGGCTCGAAGAAGCTCTCGAATTGTTACTTTCTTATCAAGTGAATGGACCATTTTCGATCCACTTCCCATTAGCTCCTGTATTTGCCTCTGTTTCCATCATAAATACAGATATGTTCTTTAACAATTGAAAGGAGTGAGGCGATTAATTTTGAAGTGCTTTACAAAAAGTTGCATACTCTATAGTGCTACGGAACAAGGAGTGTTGAGTGAAGTGCTTTCCGTCTTGTTCGTTGAAATTTACATTATTATGGTGGCAACAACTTACCCTCTGCGATTAAGTTATGTCACCTCATTCCCACATAGGGATCAATTCTGGTTGTTCCTTTTCGACATAGTAATTCAAAGTTTGTTGCCTGTACCGGACACGACTGATCATCCACAGCTGGGCTATGATTTGCAGACTATCGGCTACGCGGATTTAAATCCAACTAAGACAGTTAAAAGCGCCAGAACATAAAGTTCTAATTAGTAGAACATAGTCTACCACTATCTGGCAAAGAATCAAGCGTCAAGCACAAATCGTTAATTCAGCAATTAGGACATCATCCTGTTTCATGAAAATAGGGTGACATGTAGCTAATTACGACTTAAAATCAGACTCGGTAAAAAATGGAGGCCGTAGTTCCACTGCCCTCAAGCCACAGCTCCAGGCAATAAGCTGAAGTAAGCAATTAAGCATGAAAATGGTTCTAAGACCGCCAACCGATAAAAATCCGTTTACATAAGTCAAAAATGCTAAAATGGTGAATTTAATTGTTACGGTTGGAGGTCTCATGCTGGCGAAATATAGTGTAGGAAAAGTGTCCGAAATGTCGCAGTTCATCGCTTCTTAATGTCATTTCCCGGAATAAATGTAGTAAAGTTGGTGTCCTTAGTAAATATGTATATATAACAGGGTACAAAAGACCAAACGAGATAATCTGTTTTAATTTCCATTGGTAAAACCAAATATCTATTGATAATTTCACATCAATAGCAACTGCAGAGCAAATAAGAAATGAAAGGTGTTTCGGTCAATGCTCAATGGTACATTGCGGATTTAAAAAAGGCGAACCCTTTGATATCCGGCAGGATGATCGATTAAGGGTGGGCAAAATAAAGGCAAAAATGGCAATAGGAAATAGTGAACAACTGCAAATTGCGAACTTGCCGATTACAGCGTTCCCGTCCGTTTTATGTACTATCCAAGGTTATCGTCTGTGGTTTCCGGGCAAAAATGGAGGTGGGTTGGTTTGTTTTTGTTTTTCTGCTGTTTGTATGGGTCGTTTGGATTACGTGATATGGTGTAGTGTGGCCAGTGCACTGTCGACACGTGCTTTGAACACGGCTAACGTGGGGGCTGAAATAACAGCTTCTGAGAGGGTATTCCACGTGTGGCAAACACGCAGCGAGAAGAAGTTTCTTCGACACTCCAACCGACTGTATTGTTCTGCCAATTTGAGATGATGACCTCTCAGTTGGCTGTTGTGACTCAGCTTCAATAGGTGATGGCAGGGGTGATTAGTGTTGTTTAATATTTGGTAAACCATGATTAGGTCACCACGCAAACGGCGATAACGTCCACTGAAAATGCCAAGCACTCTGAGGCGCTGTTCGTATGACAAGTGGCGCAGCCCCTTGACATTTTTGGTCGCCCGACGTTGTGGAAGCTCCAAGACCGTGAGATCCCGCTTTAGCCATGGGTGCCATGCTTGAATTGCATATTCAACATGTGGGCGTATATAAGCGGGAAGTATTTGGCGGAAAATCGACGGTTCGAATTGCCCGAAAGCTCTCCGTAAAAGCCCCACGATTTGGATCCCTTCTTCGATGCCTTTTTGGACTGCTCCGAGCAGCCGAGATCTTCCTGGACCAACACACCGAGATCCTTTTCGAGAGAACAGTGTTGCAGATCCTGGTCCCCCAGCTTATATGTGTGAACCATTCGGTGTCTTAAATGGAGCACTCGACATTTAGCCACATTGAAGAAAAGGCGATTTTGGACCGACCATCCATAAATCTTGTCAAGGTCGATTTGAAGCTGGATACGGTCTTCTGGAGCTCTGATCACTCGCCAAACTTTGATGTCATCGGCGTAGAGTAAACAGTTTGACGCAATTTGACTCACTAGATCGTTTATGAAGACCAAGAATAGACGGGGCCCCAGTACCGAACCCTGTGGCACTCCGCATTCGACGTGAATTGGGTCTGACATGGATTCACGTACTCTCACCTCCAGACGCCTGTGCGAGAGAAAATTGCAGATCCACCCGAGGAGAGGGTCCCCAATGCCACATCCTTGAAGTTTGGCGAGAAGGATACGATGGTCCAACCGGTCGAATGCCTTAGAGAAATCAAGGTAAGCCACATCAACTCCTGCACCAGCGTCCACAGTTTCGGTCCAGCTGTCTCGTGCTAACAATAGATTGGTTGTGCACGACCGATTCTGGCGGAAGCCGTGTTGCTGCTGAGCAATGTAACCAAAGCCGTCCAGATAAGACATGAGTGCGTCGGCAATGATAGCCTCCATAACTTTTGAAAGAACTGGCAGTAGAGTCACTGGTCGATAATTAGCTGGGTCGGAACGACTACCCCTTTGTAAATGGGAGTTATTATTCCGTGTTTCCACATTGCAGGAACGTGCTGCTCGTCAAGGCAGTGCTGGAACAGCCGCGCCAAAGGTTCAGCCAAAATAGTAGCCGCCACAGCAAGCGTCTTTGGGCGGATGTCGTCAATTCCTGGACAGGCGTGCAGGCGCATGGATAGCAGCTTTCTCATCACGATGTCTGCCGTAAAATTTATATGAGTGAGTCCTGGTGTGGGCACCATAGATTCCAAAGATTCAGGAGACCACGGGATGCAATGAAACGTTGGTGCATATTGTTGTTGCAGAACATTCGACGCTTCTTTAGCAGTCCGAGTTAGACCATCCGCTGTTTGAAGAGGGGGAAATCCACTTTTCACCTTGCGGAGGCTGTTCACATGCTTGTACAGAAGCTTAGGATTTGCAGTTAATCGCTCGGCTAAAGCATGTTGATAAGCTACTTTGTCCTCGCGCACTAATTGGGTACAGTGGTTACGGTGGACAACATATGCCTTCCAGGTACTCGGACTCGGATCGGTTTTGTGGGTATACCACGCCGCGTTGCGCATCACCATGCGTTTGCGTGTCCTACTCCGTATAAACGACGCCATGTTTCTCGAACTGATAGTCTTGGTTTCCGATGCTCCACTAACCAGGGTGTTAAACTTACTGACGAAACGTTCCCAGGCAATATCGGGTGCATCCTCGGTTAGGAAACTCCAGTCGGTCGCTTCAACGAGTCGGGTTAAGGTGTCGTAACTGGTTACGGTTCGCGTTGTTTGAGTTCGGTCCTCGGGATATTCAGCATAGCAAGTGTACATGAAATGCAAAGTCGCATGATCACTGCGGCCTAGAGGAGTATCGATTATCACTCTCTCGATCATCAGTTCTTCATTAGTGAATATTCGGTCCAATATGGATGGCCTGTTATTTCCCCTGAATCTGGTGGGCGAAGTGACGTGGCCATAAAGCGGAAAATCTGAGACAAGATCTTGCAGGTCTGCTTTGAATTGCTCTCCTGGTGTGGCCTGGGATTCTAGAGCATGTAAGTTGAAATCGCCGGCGACTAGAACGTGACTGTACTTCCTGTTTATCACCTGCCTCAATGCAGCCACCAAGTTGCAGTCCATCTCAGGTGTAGACGATGGTGGTCGGTAAACAACAACCACTAGGCCAAGATCGTTCCCTCTCAGCCGGAAGCTGCACCAAATGGAGTCAGGTACATCGGTTTCCGAATCGTGTATGGGTTCGCACTGCAGGTTGTTACGAAAGTAGAGGGCTACCCCACCACCTTTGCTGGCTCGATCATTCCGGACAACAGACATACCTGTTAGCGCGATTTCGGCATCCGTTATCTCACAGCGCAACCACGTTTCCGTGATAGCGATGAGGTCCCAAGCTGCTGACGCGTGTCGAAGTCTTAATTCAGCTAATTTGCTGAGTAGACCTTGGGCATTTGTGTACATGCATGAGAGCTTCTCGGAGACCAAAAGTGTGTTGGGTGGAATGGATGAAGAAAGTGAGTTTACGCCGACCGATGTAAGGTCGGCGGCTAATCGTTTTTTGGATGGGTTGCAGACTCTCGAGACGAATTTGGTATATATTCAAGTATCAGATGCCCCGGATCCCGGTGTTCGCTCGTGCTCTGCTGTGTCCCTCCGGATGTTATAGCTACTGTTGAAACCGTCACCGAGTCAGGTCCTACAGTTGGTGTTTTCATTGAGAGTTGCGCCTCCACTGAGTTGTCATTAGAAGGTGGTGGTGTTCCTGCTGCTTTCAGACGAATTTCTGTTGGCAACCTGCTACGGAATTTAGTCCAGTTCTCTAGAAGAGTTTGTGCCGTTAGTTCTGATTGCAACACCAGTTTCAACAGCCTGGGACCGCACCCCTTATAGTTCGGTGATAAGGGGATCCTTGTCAACGAGGTGGCCACGACATTTTCGAGAGAAAGAGCCTCACGGATGTAGTGCCATTGCTCCCGGTCGTGTACCTGCGCATCGTCGGAAGAGGAATCAGTAAGCTCAGGAACACCGTGAGCAATCACAGTTTTCGGTGTTGTTCCTCCCAACACTGACGCCCTACTTCCGGTTCCGTCCTCATTTGGCCACATCAGGTGGAAACAGCCTGAACTGAGAGTGGGATTGGAGAACAGGTGGTTAACGGCTGATCCCTTGATCACTAGGCCATTGAGATCTGTGTGAAATGCTTTGCACAGTGACTGGGAATTCCTGATAAGCCCAAACGAGGACGGAATCGCTCGTAATTTGTTAGTGTCAAAAGCAGCAATACCAAAACCCCTCCACTTCGGATACGGTCCTGGTGATCAGCATGACCGAGGTCCAA